GATTTTGTATTTTTGTTTCCTAGAGCGACTTCTATGTATATGACATCACAGCCAATCAGTGGACACTAATTAGTGATGATACAGCTGCTATGGGTGGACCACCTTTGATATTTGATCATCAGGTGATTGACAGTTGTATTTAACGACCCTGCCCACTAGAAGGGTATTAAATTTCCACACAAATKTTCACACCAAAATATGATTTTCAATTCCAATTACACTAATAACTATATTAAACACTGTCTTTATTAATTTCTAGATTTGTATGGATGTCACAAAAAGTACTATCTTTGTATTTGGAGGCCGTATCTTAACCAGGTAAGACTCAAACTTTCATTCATAAAAATCTATTTTAATATAGCAAGGTACAAGGAAACATCAAAAAATGTTTTGAAATGTTTGCAGCTTCATTTATAAGAATTAGTTCAAACTAACTCAGGATAATTATGTTTTTCAGTTCATCTAGTGATGAAAGAACACCAGAACCAGCGTTTAGTGGTTTGTATTCTTATGACTGTCAAACAAGCACCTGGACAAAACTAAAGTAAGTGTTTAAGCTCAGTTTAAGTGAACCTAACCCCTGGAAAAATTGAATAGAATTGCTTGTCCACCACATGGAACTCAAAGTACCTTTTCTAATGTTTAAAAATTTTTGTTTAAAAACCTCCATACTTATTTTTCAAGTTTTAGGTGCACTTTAAAAAGCTGAGTCATATATGAGTGGAGAGCAAGAATTCTTGCACTTCTTATTTTTACAAAGGACAGGTTTATTTTGTTTGCAGATTTTTCAGTTCTAAGGACAAGTACATTATATTCTATAAAAATAATAAACTTGATTAATTTTTGCATCGCAATTGTCGCGCGACAATCACCACTTTGTTATCGCGCACCTCAAACCCTAACCCTAACCCTAAGCCCTGTGATTGTCGCGTCGATCGAAAATCGCCATGAGTAGCAGCTAGATTTCAAGCATGTTCGAAACTCAGGCGATTGTCACGCGACAATCGCGCTCCAAAAATTGCAAGTGTAAACAGGCCTTTAGAGACAACTATCTACTATGTACTTTATAAAATCTTTATTCAATTGAATTTAACAGAAATGACTGTCCAGAACTTAGATCAAGAATAGGGCACTCCATGCTTCTTCACTCTGTAAGTAATAACTATTATTGTCATTAGTGCCACTGCTTTTGGGATCAATATCTATCATGCTATTATCACCATCATTTTTAACTTTAGCAATCGAAGAGTTATTGTAGGGGTCGATCTGTCACTCACTCAGTCACTCACTCACTTTCCTGTATACTGCCTTGTTAAGTTATACTATCTTATTGTTAACTTAATTATTGTAAACTTAATTATTGTTAACTCAAATTATTGTAAACTTAATTATTGTTAACTTAATTATTGTTAACTTAATTATTATTAACTTAATTATTGTAAACTTAATTATTGTAAACTTAATTATTGTAAACTTAATTATTGTTAACTTAATTATTGTTAACTTAATTATTGTTAACTTAATTATTATTGTAAACTTATAGTAACTTGTATACTGCTATCTTTTGATTATGTTGTTGCCATTATCATTGCTTTCACCAAATGAGTATTTTGACATTATGATCTAATTATTGGATATTGTATTGTTTCAGGAAAAAAGGCTATTGTATATATTTGCTGGGCAAAGAGGAAAAGAATTTCTTAGGTATGCTCCAAAATATCTTATGTTTTTGACGAAGAAATGCAGCTATCGAGACCTCATACTTTGTTTTGATTGAAATCTCAGGAGATTGACATATATTCATGTTCCCACTTTCAAGTTGTATTGGATGTTATTGTGATAATAATATGCATATAAATAATCTATTATTTTCACGACTTTCAAAAATGGCGTRATATGTCAGGGTTGCCGACCAGGGCACTGGGGACGAAGCACTAAAATGATGTCTCAAAGGCCAGCCTCTGTATTAGTGAACTTCCATGGTGTCTTGCAAGAGAGTTTTGTTATAAATAACATACCAATACATCTTTCAAACTTTTTACCTACATGCGATCTTCGTAGTGATTTCGTGATGGAATGCCTTTGAGGTCTTGTTCCCATGATTCGCCACTAGTCCTCCGATATTGGTGGTCGYGAACTAATTGCCTGCCCACCCACCTATACTTGCTGTTGTTTTTTCAGTGATTTTTTACAATATAATATTGATACACACGAAGTCAAAATCATACTGGATGGTCATAAGAAGGATGCTGATCAAGGTAGGCTAAACTATTGGAGTTATTGATTTAACATGACTTAACCAATAATGCTAACCTGAATATCAGGCCTTATCTCCCCTCGACAGCTTGATACTCCACTGGAAAAAAAAAGTCGCGCGCTTTAAAGGTTGTAAATTTGATGTAAATATGATGTAAGTGTCCAAAATTCTGTAAATTTAATGGAAATCGCGATTTTTTCCAGTGCTCAGGTTACAATACTTCCAAATGAACTGCGAACTTTAAGACTGAGCAGTAGTTTTCATAGTCGAATTTTTTTTCTAACGATCCACGTTTTCACCATGCAGGCTGGATATTTTGCATCATCTTAACTTACAGAAAAAAGAGCCAAAAATTGCTAAATCGCTTGGTATTTTTAGCAATATTTTCTCGCCATTCACAGCGTATATCTATGTTGTATTTATKAATTTTGTAGTTCCAGCACCTGGGTTTACACAACGAGCCACAATAGACCCTGCATTAGATGAAATCCACGTACTTTCTGTAAGTTTATATCAATACTATCAGGGCTYGAAATAACGGGCGGTCAAAGGACAATGTCCTTCCAAATTCGCCCGATGACCGGCCAAATCGGGTTTTGAAAGGAGAAATTGACCTGCAACATTTTTAGACAAATCAATTCTCAATTCGCTAAATAAATCTTTTACAAGCCATTAAAATGCTTGCCGATCTTCCTGAATACAAAAACCTATAAATTAAAAGTATAATAAAGTATAAAAGTATAATAAAGTTTTTGTCCTTTCAAAACTTGACATGACCTTCCAAAAATGAATTTGGCAGGACATCTTGACCTGAATATGTCTGAACATTATTTTGAGCCCTGTTATATACAAAGCAAATATATTGAGCTCACTTCAGGTAGTTCCTGTTCAATCTCCTAGTTGAAGTGTTCATCTTCATCACTGCAGAAACTTTGATCATCAGCGTTGGTGGATTATGAATCATCTAAAATAAAACAGTAATTCTGTAGGCCTCACATATAATTTTGTCAAATTGAAGAAGTATTCAGACTCAGATATACTGTACAAAATATAAGTCATATGAGACATATTATGTACTAACCATTCAGGACTTCAATTAATGGTTTATTACATGACCTTCCAGAAATGAATTTGGAAGGACATCTTGTCCTGCATATCTCTGGCCGTTATTTCGAGCCCTGAATACAAAATTTAAGATTTGTGTAGTCTTTATTCAGAGCACAAGTTTGGTGTTACACTATGTTTCAGTCTCGTATGTTTATAAGCCGTCTTATGATCATTGCAGGGGTTGAGTAAAGACAAAGAGAAACGTGAAGATGTAGTTAGAAACTCTTTCTGGGTTTACAATATCAATAACAATAAATGGTAAAATATAAGTCAGTAATGAACTATTGTGTTGGTTGATCGTCTGTGAGTGATTACGCGTTTGATTGACTGATTGATAGAGTTATTCATTGGATGGCTGACTAGTTGATTGCTTGTATGCCAGATTGATCGTTTAACTGATCGATTAAAAAATTGATTTTTTTTTATTGATTGATTGATTGATTCGCAGATTCGGTGATTGTTTAATTGATTTACTGAATAATTGATTGATTTACTGATAGACTAATTGATTGAATCATTGCTTCGCGTTGATTCGTTGATCGATTGAAATGATTGATTGATTAATTGATTGATTCGTTGATTGATTGATTCATTGATTGATTCGCAGACTCAGTGATCAGTGATTGATTGATTGATTGAATGATGGACTAATGATGGTCTCCTTCACGGTTACCTGCACCATCTTGAAAGGTAGCCGTGCCTTTGCATCGAAGCGAGACAACCGTTGAGTGTGCAATGATAGAAACCTTCTTTCACACCTACAGACAATTATTCACAGGTTTCTATCATTCTCTCAGTGGTTGTCTCGCTTCGATGTAAAGGGACGGCTACCTTTCAAGATGGCGCAGGTAACCGTGAGGGAGACTATTGATTGATTCATTGCTTCGTTGATCAATTGAATTGATTAATTGATTGATCTATTAATTTATTAATTGATTGATTGATTAATTGATTGATTGATTGATTCGCAGATTCGGTGATCAGTGATTGATTGATTGGCTGATGGACTAATTGATTGATTCATTTCTTCGTTGTTTCATTGATCGATTGAATTGATTGATTCATTAATTCATCGATCGATTCGTTGATTGATTCGATTGATTCGTTGATTGATTCGTTGATTGATTGGTTGACAGGTCATGTGTTTACAAGAATGAGAACATTGGTCAGCAATACTGGACCAAGATGCAAACTGTTGAGCCCTGTCCTCGGTTTGCTCATCAGCTTGTATACGATGACAATCATAAAGTCCACTATTTGTTTGGTGGGAATCCAGGCAAAGCCAGTCTTCCCAAGATGAGGCTTGATGACTTCTGGTCACTCAAGGTAGGTTGGTCTTTTTCCTTTTATGTATCTCGTAGAAAGATGCTGTAGTTTTCTTTGGGTTGACCATAACAACATCATATCTATTTTTTAATTCATTGCTTCAATGCTTCCACAGTTGTTCAGACCTAGCAAAGAGCAGTTGCTTCGAAAATGTCAATATTTGATTCGACAGCAAAAGTATGGAGTTCATTTGCTTGTTTTCTCTATACTTCGTCAGCTGAATTGCAAGTACTTTATCTTTTGCTAGGTTCTTCGAGTTAGCGACAGTAGATCCAATCTCAGCATTGCAGTATCTACAGGTACTTCGTTTTGCCGTTGTTGTAGTCGCTGTTGTTGTTGTTGTTGTTGTTGTTGTTGTTGTTGTTGTTGTTGTTGCTGTTGTTGTTATTTGTGTTGCTTCTTTGTTGTGATTGTTGTTGTTATTGTCGCGGTTGTTGTTGTTGTTGTTGTTGCTTGTGTTGTCGCGATTTTTGATTTTGTTCCATTCCCCTTTACTCCAACGACGGATTAAAACGTAATAAGTTATTTCACCTATTTTTTTACGGTGTTAAATTTATCTTATACCTAACTGTTTCTATAGAAACACCGACGCAGTTCACACTAGTTTACCGCTAGTTACCACCATTCGCTATCTTCTTATTTTCTTTCTTTGTCATCTTTCCATCCTTCCTTCCTTTTTTCCACTTACACTTCCCATTTCTTCCTTTCTTAGAATCCATTCACACCTCCTCATCAGTACATGTGAAATTCGATGTTCAAAGCGGTTTTATATATAGTGTTAATCATATAATTATCCATGAAATACCTATATTTCTCCTTTTCGTAAAGTTGATGTTTTCACTAGTGAAAATAACATGTACGAGGTTTCTCTATATAGTTGAAGTAAGAAAAAAGGTATTTTACGACATAATTTACTTTCATATCAAATTATATGATAAACATGATCGCTTGGGGTTACGAATTTTATCTTCTTCGCTACGCTCACTCGTGAGAGATCTTTTCAACACTCGAAGATAAAATCCGTATCTCCGCGCGCCCATGCAATATCCTCTATTTATCTTCACAGAATGATCTATCGCAAACAGTTGACCATGACGACACCGATGAAACTCGAGAGGTAATGAATACATTTAAGTAGAATTACTTCAAAGCTCTGCAAATTAATAAGATTACTGCGATTAGACTGACCTCAAAAAGTCATAAAATAGATATTACACTAATACACGTTAATACACAAAAGGAATTTGACTC